CACACACACACACACACACACACACATAAATAAAATTAAAAAAAATTCACATCATCTTGAAGATAGCAGAGAATCTCATCATCGAAACGAATTAGCTATAACAGTAGCACAAGTCACTGGAGTCTAGACTGATACAGTATTTATCACCTACAAAAACATTATATAGTAGGAATTGGAATCCATATTTTTCATGCCAAAAAAAACCTGAGACCTTAAAAATTTCCACTGAAGACAAATAATCAATAAGCAACAGGCTGCAAACTGCCCCTGGGTTACACAGTTGTTTTGCTCCTCTGCTCTTACACCTTGAAGAGCAGCAGAGCTGCAAGTAGCATTAAGGTAGGTATGCAGCAAGGCCAAAGAGGTGAAGTAAAACCAGCAAGTGCCCCTGGCCTCAGCACCTTAGAGCACTGAGGAAGTTTCTCTGGCTAAGAGATGCATAATGGGGGTCCTTCATCTTGTCTGTCATGACTTGCACACTCACACAGATCCCAATCCACTGACTGCACAGTCAGTCCTGAGTTCTAATGTTTGTTGGCTCTTGACATTGGATACATTTTTGTGTTCTAGTGTCTGTGGAAATTGTGGCATTTATATTATTGCCCCAGAGAGACAGAGACAGAGACAGAGAGAGAGACAGAGACAGAGAGACAGAGAGAGAGAAGCTGATTCACTGATTGTTTTAGAAAGCAGAAAAATAGTGTCATAGTGTCTGTCAGTATGTATAGAGTAGATTCATTCATACTAGTGTCATAGTGTTACCGGCAGCCAAATTAGATACAAATATTATAGGCAGTCAGACAGGGGCAGGCCCCTGAAGGAGATCACACAGAAGACAAAGTTACCTTACAACTGTGGGAGGGACGGATGCTCCTGCTGTGAGCCAGACCTAAAGACCTAAAGGCCAAACAAATGCTAACCTCCCTAAAGAATAGCACCCGGGATTGATCATTACCCTAAGAAAGCCAGAAAGAATCATTATCAGATGGCCACCAAATAAGGTCCTGTTTTACATTCATGCCCCCTTGCTTTCCCATTTGGTCCTGGATTTAATCAATTTTACCTGAGCAATGGTGCTTGTAATCCCATTGGTTGACCATAGTTTTGTCCCACCCCACATCCACCTAAGCGAGTTCTCCCTTTCTCTACCTTAGCCCCACATGGTTTTACACTATAAAAGTCCCTGGAAGAGACAGCTTCCCAGGGAACAACCTGCTGGGGGGTCCCCCTCCTGTCCCTCTCTGGGACAGAAGCTTTCTTTCCCTCAATAAATATATTCTGCTCATAACTTCCATTTGTTCCTAAAATTTATTCTTTGGTTTTAAAGAACATGAACTCGTCCATGTCAGGTCAGATCATTTTTCCCTATGTCATTTGGAGGTCACCCACTTGAGATCAGTTTTTCTCCCTGTATAAATAGTGCCTTCAGACCACTTGCCATTCTCACTTGAAAGCTGGCCGAGTATGCACAAGACGGAAGACACCTTCGCAATGTTTCAGTCAAGCCTGTGGCACCAACCAGGATTCCTTATAGAGGACTCAGGACTTACATGTGTCACCCCCCATGCTTCCCTCACAAGTCTCACCTGGAGCTTTTCTGGCCCCAGCACAGTAGCTAAGCCTGGCTATGTCTTTCCTCTGCAGCTACAGAGAAATAGCTAGTTCTGGAGTCAAGATGGACTCTGTGACAGCCTGGGCAGGTCACCCCTACTTCTATGAAGTTAGCAGACTTCTTGCACAAAATGCAACCTCGGAAATGAGCACTGTATAGTCAAGAGTCCTTTCCTCTCGTTTTCTTTCACTTTACCTCCAACTAAGCAGAGCAAAAATCAAAGCAAAACTGTCCCACCCTCCTTCCTTTCCTTCTCAGTTCTCTCTACCTTCACCATCTCTCAGGACCTGGTAGTTCTTGACCAGGAGCAAAGTAGGGAGAGAAGCCATCCCAAAGCACAGTCCCATCGTGCCAACCTCTCAGGGGCTTCCCCACCCTCTGCATGTACCTCAGGCTCTCCTCGGAGCAACAGCGGCAGCAGCAGCAGAGTGGCCAGAAGGGCTGAGACAGACTGCATTTTGCCCAGGCTGCAGAAGTGGAGTGAGACCTTGGGGCTTCCCTGGTCTTTTATCTCTAGTGCAAATGAATAGTCCCAGTTGTGGGGTCACAGGTTCTAACATCTGGAAGTGCTGAGAGCTTGAGAAGATGTGGGGAGGGCCTGAAGGGTAGAGAAAAGGATTTTGACAGATGGGTGCTCTGTACACAGATGGAAGTGCGTTTCCCACTGCAAAGGAGCTCCCTTTCCATCCCCAGGCCGAGATCTGCCCCTGCCCCGCCAGGGCTGCTTATCCAAACAGATTAAGGTAAACTTGAGACATCCTGTGGGAGCCTTGCAATAGGTCTCTTTCAGCAGGGATTATGGTAATTTTCTGAGGAAGAGAAGACTCTAGAAGGAAATACAACCCTACCTGTTTGACTTCAAGGTCAGAAGCTATTCACTTCACTGTGTGCCCTTAGACAAGGGCCAGAAAGTTCCTGGGAGGATGGCTTCAGCAACACTCCACTGGTCTGCTTGGCTGTACACCCTCCCTTGCCCCTAGTAATCTCCCTCCTTGGCTATCCTAAGTCTTTTACAATTGTCCATCCCACTCCACTATCAAATGCTCCCCCTGCTTCCCCCAGTCTTGCTGTCTGGTCACTGCTGGTCCCCCAAGAAAGCCTCCACCAGATATTTTTTCATCAGCCATAAGAAGCTGTATAGCTTCAATTCCTTGGACTTCTCAAATAGATATAATTCATATAAAGAAGGAATATTTTGTTTCTGACTTCTAGAGAAGGCATTAGTGCCAGCCACCTTAAAATATTTCCTCCCTGTGCCATCTCACTTAACTATTTCTCAGGCAACAAGGAGTCTTCTGTCCACCAGGTGCCCAGGAAAGGCCAGGCTTCCTGTGTGTGACCATACACTTTCCTAATGACAGTGTATGCCCCTGCATTCCTATAGCTCTACCCTCTATATCCTTTGTTTCCCTGCTTCTCATAGCACCTCTGACTTCAGATACTATGGCAACATAACATGAAAATGATCTGCTGATCATCTCCTCTTTTGGGACTCTTTCCCTGGTGTATTTCTGGTACAGTAAGCCACAGGAAGCCTCTAGAAGAGTCTGGTGCAGGCCTTTGTTGGTAAACCCTTGATAGCATATTTAACGACTCCCTCCCCATCCAAGGTGACACATTCATTCTCTATCAATTACAGTAGCTACCCTTCCTATAACCATGAGCTCCAGAGAAAATGGAGGTTAGAAAAATAATAGAAATGTGGATTTAAAAAAGTATAAAATGCATGGAGGAGAAAACAGATCCAGGAGCAGTGTGAGGGTAGGTGTGTAGCTCTGGAGCACCTCAGAGGAAGGAAGGAAGAGGGACACAGGAGAGAACAGAGTTTCAAGTGTGGCAGTGGATGCTAGTGTCACCTTCACATACATTACCAACTACAGCTCACCTGGGGCACAAGGTAGAAAAGCAGGAGTAGCCTCAGTATCTGTTCCAAGATGGAAACCACCTAGAAAGTTGTTACAATACTGTCCTCTGTCTTCCCAGGTCCCGGGTAACAGTCATTCGTATCAGAAAGCCAATCACTTTCCAGAGTTGTACACTACTTTATTCACATTGTGTCATCTCCTCAGACCCTCATGTCATCATGCTTTCAGCCAGCATGGCGTTCCGGCCAGGCACTCTGCTCTGTCACCTTTCACCAATCTGCCTCTGTATGTCTGGGTACAGTGAGGGAGAAAAATAAGATCCCACTCCCAAGGCCATGTCCTGGGCCTCCCTGTCTGTTGCAGTCCAGTTCCAACCTAATGGACAAGTGTATGATGCGATTATGAAGGTTGATACAGAATTGGGGAGAGCAGGAGTGGTCAGTACAGGAACAGCTGTGCAGAGAGACCGGTTCAACACGCCCTTCCTGTGTGGCAGGAATAATATAGATCAGAGTGAACAAGGGTCCATACAGCAGCAGCATACAGTGTCACCTTGATCAAAGCTCTACCCAGATGAGCCTTGCAACACTGCTTACATGTCAAAGAGCTCATACTAGAGAAAGCACAGAGCATATTCATTACTAGGGGGAAGCCCTCTCCAAGCCAACCTTTCTTGGTGTTCCTGCCCAGAAGAGCCAAAGCAGGTGCCTAAGCTTCTGAGCAACATTTTGGCTCCGTATTCCATGGGCCACAGGATTGAGGACTGGGGGGTAGAGGGAAAGAGGGCAGCACCTAGAGGTTAGCCAGAAGGATGTGGGTATGGCCAGGCACTATGTGGCAGCCAAAACAGTGAGTGAAGAAGGTGAAGGTGGGTGTGTAGAAGTCAACAATGATACTGGCATGGGCCCCACAGGTACCCAAGGCCTTGTGATGGGCACCATGAAATGGCAGGCAGCAAACAGCATGGAGTATGAGGACACAGGAGGCACCTATGAGCCCCATGTTCAGGCCTGGGGAGAGTAGCGTGATAGCCAACCCGTACCAGACATTGGGGCACATGTCACTACATGCCAGGTGAGCACATCCATATGATCCCAGTAGGTGTGGGGTAGGGTCCTCTGCTCACAGTAGGACCACAGGGGGTGCCAGGACACAGGCATCAGGACAACAGGCAATATCCAAGTCCCAATACCACTCAGCCCTCCCTCAAAGCATGCACAATCTCCCATTTAGAGCAACTAAATTGTACAATGTGTCGCCCACTGGTGACTAGTCCCTAGTTTGAATGAAACATGCATATTTTTATAAAACAAATACACAATTTATCAATCAACAACAAAAATATTCTTATGCAAGTAGGGTCGTGAGTTTTGATATTCTAGAACAATTCCAAACTCTTTCTCATATTCAGCTTTTTCTCTGTGGAGAGAGAGAAAAATGGAGAGACAGAGAGATGGGTGGGGGTAAGAGGGAGAAGGACAGGGAGAGGGAGAGGGAGAGGGTGAGACAGAGAAACAGAGACAGACAGAGACACATACACAGAGAGACAGAGAGAGACAGAGACAGACACACAAACAGAGATAGAGGCAAACAGAGACAGAGATACACAAAGAGAGAGACAGAGACAGAGACAGAGACAGAGACAGAGAGACAAAGAGATAGACAGAACCTCTATCACATAAACACCTCCTATGGAGTGTGAGGACTCAGTCCTGGGTAATTCAGGGAGAACTACTTCTCATGGTACACTTTGCTGTAGGCTTTCTGCCTGTTTTCCCAATGGCAACATAACTTCTCACACCTAGGAACTAGTTCCTGATTGAAAGTCCAACTCACAGTGCAAATAAAGCTCAAAGCATTTTTCCTTGCAACTTGAAAATGTAGGAAAAAAGAGGCACAGGCAGCTAGGGCTATAAATCTGATCTTGAGGGAACAGAGAATGGGCCTAACCTACTTTATTTTCCCATAAGTAGCAAAGAACTGAGATACTTTAAAGAAATTATGGGGCTGGTGAGATGGCTCAGTGGTCTAAAGCACCTACTTAGAACAAGCTTAGCAAAGCACAGGGCCACACACACACACATAAATAAAAAAAAATTTAAAAGAAATTATGAACCCAGTTTTATACCCAGTAAATCTAAGGTGAAAATCGCAGCTGTAATTTACTTAAGCAACAAATATTACAATCGCATTTTATAATCTGCAAAGCATTTGCACCCACACTGACCTTTAAGGACTCACCCTATAAAGTTAGAAAGCAAACAGGAAAACTGTTAAGTGAGATCACATCTATAAACTAAGACATGTATAGAACTACTGACAAAGATGAATTGTACTCGGGAAAAAAAGTAGAAAAACAACAGCAGACAACTGAGCCAGAGATAGAAGGAAGACAGTACAGGTAACAGCCCTTTCTTTTGTTCTGCTTTATTATTTTCAAAATCCATTTGTCTTTCATGGGAGCCACTCATGCGTGTCAGTGAAGGGTCTTGGAATAGAGCTCCTAACAAGATGATGGAGTATGTACTTTTAAAATATCTGAGCCCAGAATCTATTTATTTATTATTTGCTCAATAACCTTTAAAAATATTAGCTCTGCACTAAGCCATGTTCTCTGGTATCAACCAGAAAAGCCTAACAGAATACAGGAGAATTGTCTAGATCTAGGAGTGTTTTTAGCAAGCAAGGTGGCACACAAGGCAGAATCCTGGTACAGGAGGATATGGTTTAATTTAAGATAAATGAGGTTACAGAGAAGAAAAGTGGAGGGGCCGAGGAGATGGCTCAGTAGAATAAGCACTTGCCTGGCAAGAACAAGGGCCTGAGTTCAATCCCCAGTTCCGCAAAAAAAAAAAAAAGAAAAGAAAAGTGGAATAGAGCTTGCCAGAAGCTGGAATGGCAGGTGGCAGAAAATGGGGAGTTGTTAGTCAGAGGGTGTGAAGAAACATAAAATTCTGATGGCATATTGTACAACATGGGGCTATGGTCAGTAAAATATCACATACTTCAAATTTCTGAGAGATTTTAAATGTTCCCATCTCAAAGAAATATATGTGGTGGGGCTAGAGAGATGGCTCAGTGGTCTAAAGCACCTACTTGGAACAAGCTTGCCAAAGCACAGGGACCGCGGTTCGATCCCCCAGCACCACATGCCAGCCAGTCCCGCCCCCTGGTGGGCTGAGCTGGCCACACACACAATAAATAAATGTATAAATAAATAATTATTTTAAAAAAAGAAATATATGTGGTAATGTCTACATTTGCCTGATAAATTACTCCACAATGTGGAGTGTAGGTATAATACTATGTAGGTATAATACCACGTTATACTCTACGTGTGTATGTGACTATTTCTCCATTAAAAAGAAAAACAACCAAAATATTTAAATTTTTAAGAGATAACTAAAGGAGGGCCAGCCAAATAGCTCAGCAGACTAAAGCACCTGCAAGCAGGCACAGGGGCCAGAGGTTAGCTCCCTGAGCCTGCCGTGCCAGCCCCACACCCAGGGTGCACTGAGATGGCAACTGAGACTAGGCGTGGTGGGGCCTACCTGTAATTCCGGCTCTTGGGAAGTTGTAAACAGGCGGATCA